CATATATACAGTCGAGGAAAATTTCAATTATACCCTTTGATTTTTTTGTTTTTTTTATTACTATACGTTTTTATCTATTAGCCTACTATATATAAGAAGAAAGTCCAGAAGCCGCCGTATCTTTTAGTATATTTACATTGAACATCAAATGCAGTTAAGAGTATAAATAGTGTATTAGAAGAAAGAGAACCTTTTTTTAATTCCATGCCGTCTATAATGTTGTAACATTTTTTTATTTCGCATATATCTTGGCTTAGGTAAATGCTAAAACCTTGAATTTTCTTTTCGAAAGATGTACCGTGAAAAGCTCTACAAAAGCTATATGATCGAATTGCTTTTTACCTGTTCTGATGATTTTCTTATACTCAAAATGAACAACCTACATGGCGATGTTACTCCCCATCCTACTGAAAATGTTGGAAGGCTTTTTTGTTTTGCATATATCTCGTCTTGAGAAAATGATGGAATATTGAATTTGTTTTTAAAAGATGTGCCGTCGAAGGCTCTACAAAACTTGTATAGACCAAATCCTATAGAGAATCGGAAAAGTTCTCGACATATTTTCTATATGATGAGAAGTGACATTGCCACCCACACGTTGTTCATTTTGAGTATAAGAAAAATCATTAGAACAGATAAAATGGAATTTGATCATATAGCTTTTGTAGAGTTGTTCATGGCACATCTTTCGAAAAAAAAAATTCAAGGTTTTATCATTTACCTAAGCCGAGATATATATGTGAATTAAAAGAATGTTACAACATTATGGACACCCGGTTTTGGCAATAAAAAACATGTTCTTTTTCTTCTAATACACTTTATATTTTCAACTGCATTTGATGTTCAACGTAAATATACTAAAAGATGCAGCGCGTCCTGGGCTTTCTCCCTACATATAATAGGTTAATGGATAAAAACGTATAGTAATAAAAAACAAGAAATTCAATTTTTCTCGGCTGTATATATATACATATTGATCTAATTATATCTTCTTTAATTCTACTATCATACCTGAACGCGTATACATCCTCTTTTCTAGTATATTCAACTACATTCGTTTTCTTTCTCTTTATTCCTTTATCGATCATGTACGTTCTCTCTCATATGCTCCAGTGAGTTCTCATCTCTCTATTACACTCTACTGAATCCTTTCCCTTTTCATTATTTGACATAATAACACATTGCATAAATGTGATCAGACAACACTTTTCTCTCGTTCATAATGGGTGAGTGCTCGACTGCATTCACAATAGTAAAAACATAGTAAGTACATTTCTATTGAACCATCATTCAAATATATCGACAATAAAAAATGAAAAATGCTCACAATGTCTTAACAGTATTATGAAACCTGAAATCAGACGAATTATCCAGTGACTCATCATCTTCAATCAGTCGTGGGGTGCAGGTGTGGATGTCAATGTGTCTCTTCCTTCTACTGAAGCATGCACAGTGGGCAGCAGGTAGTCCCCACCAATATCCCAGATTTTTAACCAGTGACAAAATATGCCTGGTTCAAAAGAGATTTTTTGAAACATAATCCAGGTTCATTTAAAAATATCATGAGTGTTAGTTTCATGTTTCAAACAGATAAATGTTATCAAAAAGAGCTCTATCGATGGACCGATGATACGTTGTTCTTTGTTCAACAAATCTGTGCTTCACTCTGTTTTTTTTACTATCATGGCCATTAGACAAATTCATCATTTCCTTAATCTTTCATTTCATTTTCATTTCCTGTATCATCTTTATTTTCTTACTAAATGAAAATATAGCTAACATACTTCTGTTTTTATACAACAAGTAACAAGAAGTAGAATGAGTTTGTCAAAAATTAGTTCCTGAAAATATTTCTTTATTGAGATGAGAAAAGAAAATTTCTATAAAAACATAATAATCATCTTTCTAGAGAAACTTATTATTTGTGAAGTTTTCTCTAATTTGTGACTTCAACCAATGAGCAAAATATGAGCTTAAACAGAATGAATTAGTTGATGAAGTTCATTCATTAGTGTCTTCTTTCTGAATTATACCTGTTACACTGATATTTCCCTATAGATCACAGTATACTAATAAGTCAAATGATGGTATTTTGACCTGATATTTTACTCTCATATATGTTTCATAGTTATTAAAATATCATAAATTTTCTAGCGAAAGCATGCATATCTCTTGTAGAATAACAATGAAAAATATCCATAATGTAATTAGAGAATTGTTATAATGCAGCAGTACTGGCATTGTTTCGATTTCGAAATGATTCAAAATTTTTGTCATTACAGTATATTTGTGGCTGATAACATTTCAGCAAAGAATCTGTGAGATAGATATGATAGCGATTCTGATCATTTAGTAAGAGCCAATCCATAATCCTTATGTAAATCATATTAGTTGTGATGTTTGTTGTTTCTCAGTCATTGTGCGGATCTCCAAGGAGTTCTCTAGTAAATGACAGAAAGCGCATGATGAATAATCTGAGTGATGAATTTCGCAAAACTCGACGAGATTCAAATAAAAAGCATTGGTACCCATCCAGATTTGGCTATAATCATCCCACAATATTGATAAGAATATGATCAGAATCATGTGAATTTGATACAATTCACTAGCGACTGTTGAATCAGAATAACTGATCCATCTTTATTTCTTTGTTCTTCTGTTATCTAGTCGCAAAATGTCAACTCAACTTCAAACCAACGATCCCAAATCCAATTGACTATAAGTCTGATCCACGATCTGTCACTATCGGTGACTTCAACAACGATACTTGGTTAGATATTGTTATTGCCAATTATGCTGCTGACCATATAGCTGTATATTTTGGATATGGCAATAGAACTACCGCAACACCAATCACGTATCCGACCGGTTTTGGTTCTGCTCCGTACATGGTCGCCGTTAACGATTTTAACAACGATGATCGACTGGATATTGCAGTCGCAAACTTTGGCACAAATAACGTTGGTATACTTCTTGGAACCGAAAATGAATCTTTTGCAAGCCAAAAAACCTTTTCAACTGCGTCCTCTCGCCCTATTTGGATCCACATAACTGATCTTAACAATGACACAGCATTAGATATTATCACCGCTAACCATGGCACACACAGCGTAAGTATATTTTATGGATATGGAGATGGAAGCTTCTCAAAACCAAGCACATACTCTACGGGCTATGACTCTTTCCCGTTTGCGGTTGTCAGTGGTGATTTTAACAACGACAAACAGATGGATCTTGCTATCGCCAATTATGGCACAAACAATATTGGTATACTATTTGGAACTAGTAACAGTACTTTCGCGAATCAAATCACGTTTTCAACTGGTCCGAATTCCCATCCATACTCGCTTGCTGTTGGCCATTTAAACGACGACAACATACTAGATATCGCGGTCACCAACAATGGAAATAGCAGTGTTGGTGTTTTTCTGGGCCACGGCAATGGAACGTTCAAAAGTCAAACGACCTATTTGCTCGGTACTGCTTCTCCATATTCTATTGGTATTGGGGACTTTAACAAGGACCACCGATTGGATTTAGTCGTCACAAATAATGGCACTGACAATATTGCTGTGCTTCTCGGATATGGCAACGGCACCTTTGTAAGTCCGAAAATGTATTCCACTGGATCTTCTTCTTCGATCTCCGTTGTCATAGATGATTTCAACAGAGACGATCGTTTAGATATTTTCGTCATCAATAATGACACGAGCAGTATAGATATTCTGCTTGGCTATGACGAGGGCTTTCCAATTCAAACGAACTATTCAACTGGCTCTTCTCCGATCTTTGTAGCTGTCGGCGACTTTAATAACGATACCGTATTGGACATCGCCATTACCAATTATGATGAAAAAACTGTAAGCATACTTCTCGGATATAGCAATGGTTCTTTTGCAGGACAAGTGAAATATCCCACTGGTACTAGACCATATTGTGTAGCTGTTGGTGATGTTAACAACGACAGCCGACTAGATATCGTCGTCACTAATGGTGATGACAACACTGTAAGCGTACTTCTGGGATACGGTAATGGCTCTTTTGCAAATCAAGCGATATATTCTACCGGTACTAGTCCATCTGGTTTAGCTGTTAGTGACTTTAACAACGACACCCGACTGGATATCGTCATCAGTAATTTTGTTGACGGGACTGTAAGTGTATTTCTGGGATATGATAATGGCTCTTTTGCAAATCGAATGTCATATTCAGCTGGCATTACTTCAGACTATATAGCTGTTGGTGATTTTAACAACGACACTCTATTGGACATTATCGTCACTAATGCCGATATCAACACTGTAAGTGTACTTCTAGGATATGGTAACGGCTCTTTTGCAAATCGAGTAGCATATTCAACTGGCACTTATCCGGCATGTGCAGCTGTAGGTGATTTTAACAATGACACCTGTTTAGATATCGTCGTCACTAATTTTTATGACAACACGATAAGCATACTTCTCGGATATGGTGATGGCTCTTTTGCAATCCAAATGACATATTCAACTGGCGACAGGCCAATCGGTTTAGCTGTCGGTGATTTCAATAACGACACCCGACTAGATATTGTTGTAAGTAATTCCGGAAATAATACCATAGGTGTCCTTCTCGGATATGGTAATGGTTCTTTTGCAAGTCAAAAGACATATTCAACCGGTGCTTATCCATTAGCTTTAGCTGTTAGTGATTTTAACAACGATACCCGACCGGATATAGTCGTCACTAATTATAATGATAACACTATTGGTGTTCTGCTCCGTTATGACAGAGGAGCTATGAAAAACGAAATTACATTTACGTCCAGTACTGGTGCCCATTTGAGAAGCGTTGCCGTTTTTGATTTCAATGACGATAGTCTATTGGATATCGTCGTTGCTAATTATGGTACTAATAACCTAGGTGTCATTCTTGGATATGAAAATGGCACTTTTGGAACCGAAATTATGTTCTCAACGGGATTAAAATCTCATCCTTGCTCAATTGCAATTAATGACTTCAATAAAGACGGTCAAGTGGATATTGCAGTGGTCAATTGTGGTACTAAAAGTCTTAGTACATTTCTGGGAAAGGGGAACGGAACGTTTGAAAGTCAAGCAAATTATAGCACTAGTTTCGTTTCTGCTCCATTGGCTGTTGGTGTTGGTGATATCAATAGTGATGGACGTTCGGAAATTATTGTTGCATACGATGATACTGATAATTTGGATGTGTTTGTTATATATGACATTGGAGATTTTTCTCATCAAACGACATATTCAACTGACCCTTGGCCAAGATCAGTAGCATTTGGTGATTTTAATAACGATACTAGACTGGATTTCGTTGTCACTACTGTGTATTACAAGAATGTAGCTGTATTTCTTGGATATGGTAATGGCTCTTTGGCAAATCAAATGACATATTTAACTGAAAATGGCTCAATCTCTGTAGCTGTTGGTGATTTTAATAACGATGCCCGATCGGATATCATCGTCGCTAATTATTTGAACAACACTATAAGTGTACTTCTTGGTTATGGGAATGGCTCGTTTGCAACACAAAAAACATTTTCAGCCGGCTATTATCCATATTGCGTAGCGATTGGTGATTTTAATAACGACAGTCGACTGGATATCGTCGTCGCTAATTTTGATAGAAATTCCGTAACTGTGCTTCTAGGATATGGTAATGGCTCTTTTGCAAGTCAAGTGAATTATTCAACTGGTTCTCGGTCACACTCTGTAGCTGTTGGTGATTTTAATAACGACAGCCGACTGGATATCGTCGTCGCTAATTTTGATAACAACTCTATAAGTGTACTTCTCGGATATGGCAATGGCTCTTTTGCAAGACAAGTGAAACATTCCACTGGCACTACACCAACATTTGTTGCTGTTGATGATGTTAACAACGATAGCCGACTGGATATCGTCGTCACTAATGGTGATGACAACACTGTAAGTGTACTTCTCGGATATGGTAATGGTTCTTTTGCAAGTCAGATGATATATTCAACCGGTAATGCGCCAATCAAAGTAGTAGTTGGTGATTTAAATAATGATGCTCAACTGGATATTGTTACTAATAGTTATCGTGACAACACTGTAAGTGTGCTTCTAGGATATGGCAATGGCTTTTTTGCAAATCAAATGGCATATTCAATTGGCACTACTCCATCCGATGTGGCTCTTGGTGATTTGAATAACGACGGCCGACTGGATATTGTCTCCCCTAATTATCTCGGTAGCAGTGTAAGTGTACTGCTAGGATATTTAAATCAAGCTTTTGTAAAATATACGACGCTCATAACTGGCAATGGATCTCGACCAACGTCATTCGCTACTGGGCATTTTAACAGTGATAATCAACTGGATATAGCCGTCGTGAATTCGGGCACTAACACCATGGGCCTTTTTTTGGGATATGGCAATGGATCTTTCGCAAATCAAACGGTATTTCCAACTGGCTCTACTCCAATGTCGATTGCTGTTGGCGATTTCAATAACGATACCATATGGGATATCGTCGTCGCTAATTATGGCAATGACACTGTTGGAGTATTTCTTGGATACGATAATGGTTCTTTCTCAAACCAAAAGATGTTTACGACGGGCTTTGCATCTTTACCTCGCATGGTTGCTGTTGGTGATTTCAACAACGACACTTTACTAGACATTATCGTCTCCAATTATGGTACCAACAATGTAGGTGTGCTAGTTGGATATGGTAATGGTTCCTTTGCTGACGTAAAGGTTTTTTCGACCGATTATGGATCTCGCCCATTCTCGGTTTCTGTTGATGATTTTAACAATGATGGAAAGCTAGATTTCGCAGTCGCTAACAAAGATGCTGACAATTTAAAAATTTTCTTACAGACTTGTTAATGTTGAAACTTCTAACTTGTGGTTTTTTTCTTCTATTCACTGTTTCTAACTTTTACTTAGTGCTACCAATATTTCTTGTAAGCTTTTTATTATTTATCTCTCGATTTATATATTCATACAAACTATGAGTGAGCGTTGAGAAGTGAAACAAAATGCAATGCATTCCCATCTTGTTCAAAAGATTCCATGAGATAGTTTTGACTTCACATCTGTTTTATGTCAATTCACGAAAATAGAACACTCAAATACTTAGTGAGGTAAGTATGAGATGAAATGTGTTTGAATAGCTACCATGATTTAGATTTATGCGGATGTTATGCACAGAAAAGAGTGATTAGCAATGCAATGAAATAAGCAACAAGAAGAACATTGTTCATATACATATGAAACAAGAAAGAAAGTTTGTTGGTATCTGTTCAAAAGAAAAAAATGAATCAATCTTGAAATGAAATGAGATAGAAAAAAAGAAGAGTAACTGTACGATAAATATGAAAATAAAAAAACTACTATGGTCTAGATTTTCTCTCGCCTACGAGAATCATGAGATCACACATAATTCTATATGATTTTGAGAAAACACCAGAATCAGAATACATTCTGTTATATGTCCATAAATGAAGTGTATATGATGATAATTTAAATGCATGAATGTATGAACAGCTTTTGTAGTGAATGCAGAAATGACCATGCCGTTCTTGGGAGGGGTGAGATATATGGATTGATAAAGAAAAGATCGATATACCTGTACAAACAGTCACGCTCTACAAGTTAAGTCTCAGAAAGTAATTCGTCATTTACACCAAATGTGTCTATTTAACTCGCTACCAGTGATCGACATCGGAAACAGATAAACTTACAAAGGTATTCTCAATCGAACTCATCGTTCATTGTTTTCTCATTTATCGATTCAATCGAAGTTCTTTTAGAAAGTTTGATTAAAATGCAGATCTAAAGATTATAATTTCTGGACAGAATGCTCTTTCGTTCAGAAACGCTGGTACAAGTCAATCTATTGATGATTACTTTTGAATGCGGATGTGATAAAGGTACAGCGGCAATGGCGATAGTTGTCAATGTTGTCTCTGCACGACCGATCATCTCAAACTGCATGAAATCGACTCTCAAATATCTTCATCATGCATTCCCTATTACGTTGTATAGTCTAAATATTCCTCTCCTCTTTACACGGATATGATCTACTGGCAAGATGGAAAGCAAACATAACATACGTAATCTATCAAAAAGGTAAAAGAGATCCCAAATGAAAAAGGTCAACTTGATTCATCATTAAAATGAATCGTAGCTCAAATAAGAATATTCCTGATTTGTCATATGGAAAATACCAGTGGACTTGGTAGAATCGAGCGCATCTAGCGCATAAAATGAATAACTTCAAGAAACATACGTATAAAACTTGCGAACTTGATTCAATTGAAAAGAAAAATTTTACTTTGAATACTCACCTATTTAATCTCAATTTTTACGTTCCTGTTTATACGATAAGATTCAGATCTTTCTGCTTACTTCATATCTTGAAGTTGAAATTCAAAAGTCAAACTTCATATTGACATTTAACTTTCAAGTTATCGTTGCCAATCAAGTATTTCATGAAATAAATCCTAATAAGTTCTCGTCTTGTACATTCATATCTAAACTCTCTAAAAAAAAAGGTGTCATAGTGAACCTTTTAAGGTTTTAGACAACCCTTGAATCTTTTAAGGTTCTAGATTTGGGTACCATTTTAAGAACCTTTTTTATAGTTCTAGCCGGAAAATCTAGAACTTTAAACAGTTCAGCGTCTTCGGCTAGAACTTAAAAAGGTTCTTAAAATGGTATCCAAATCTATAACCCTAAAAGGTTCAATCGGTCAACTTTTCTTTTTACAGAGACTTATTAGTGAATCCACAGTCATATAAGTCTACATGAAGAATTTGTTTTTTGTCATAACTGAGCATGCAGATGTCAGATGTTCTCACAAACTCTGCAAGAGTGTGGGTGTGGGCGAAAAGAAGAAACTCATATCCATACCCACATTCCACACCCACCCCACCCACACCCTTGTTCCATAATTTTTTTCACTCATCATTGTCATAGACTTATAGTAATACTAATAATACATTTCAGAAGAATTAATTAAAAAAGAATAACTTTTCAATCTGATTTTCAGATTAAATTATTATTTACTCTCATCTAGCATCATCTTGTATTCAAATGTATATCTGTTACAAACCTAGAAATCAAGAAATACTCAATAAGGGTGTGGGTGTGAATGTGGGTCTTTGTTAAAGGAAAGATTCACACACACACCCACATCCTCAAATAAATGTCGATAAGCTTGCAATGAATAATGGTGGTATGCCGTCGTTATCAGCGACATATAATCACATTCAAATAATCACAGCATATCAATTGAAACAACTGTCTGACAATTTTGTTCGATTACCACTATTAACAGTAAATGATTTAATCAACATGCTCTATCTCTTAGACCAAATTGAGAACAGAGACAGTCTTACTGATCCTCTAGTAGTTAATCATAGAGTTTATTTCGTATTCATCGGCATACTAAGAGATTTATTAAAGAAATGGCGCACTAAAAACTATCTCACACAATTTGAATCGTCTCATTTATTTCGTTATATAGGGTATCCAGAAATTATAGGACCCCTTTTATTTTTGAAATTTTTCAACAAAAGCAAATAGTTAGGTCAAATGTAAATAGTGATTTGGA